GCAGATAAGAGTCTCAGGATCGCTGGGCGCTGGTGGCTCACCCCTGTAATCCTAGCTACTCAGGAGGCTGAGATCTGAGGATCCCGGTTCAAAGCCAGCCCGGGCAGGAAAGACCGTGAGACTCCTATCTCCAATAAACCACCAGAAAACCGGAAGTGGCGCTGTAGCTCAAGTGGTAGAGCGCTCAGCTGGAGAGCTGAGGGACAGCGCCCAGGCCCAGAGTTCAAGCCCCACGACCGACAAAAAAAAAAAAGTCTCAGGATCCTGAGACAGGCACAGAACAAGGGACCTTGGGGAGGGGCAGGGAGTGTCTCCCCCTAGGGGTCGGTATGGCTGGAGCACCAGGGACCAGTCCAAGGGGTCAAGCAGCTGTGGGGTTCAAAGGTGGGCCTTAAGGGGGCAAGGCTGGGCATGTGTGAACACAGACAGATGGCAGGAAGGGCCGGACCTGAGGGGCTACACAGGCAGGTGGAGGACTCTGGTCTTGGGCCCATGGAAGAACTCCCCCTAAATGATTATTTACTGGCTCCCTTTGACAGGATCTACCTACCGAGACAAGAGCTGCTGGCCCTGGGTTGGTGGGGGCGGAGAGTGGGGCGCAAGGCCGCCTGGCCAAGGGTGCAGGCCCTGTCCCACCGCGCCCCCTTCCCTCACCAAGCCCGGAGGCCAAGTCCCAGGTTTGTCCTCACCCTGGTCAGGGACCGCCCGGCCCCTTGTCCTGGGGCGCCACGGCCGCTGCGTTCTCTCCTCCCGCGGCGGGGCGGCGCAGGACCCTATGGGACCCTCCCTGCGGTGCCAGGGGCGGCACTGCCCCTTCGGAACTGAAGTGGGCGCCAAGGCCTGGTCGTCTGGGCCCGAGGGGCGGGAGGCTGCCTGCCTTCGCCCGAGCTCAGTCCCCTCGGTTAGCACTTCACAGCACGGGGGGAGGGGGTCGTGGGTGGGAGACCGGGAGGGGGGAGGCGGGCACCGCAGCTGCACGCCCCAAAGAGGGCGGTGCTGCCCTCAAGCCCTGACCCCCAGCGGCTCGGCGCACAAGGCACAAGTCCCGGCCGCAGCGCGGGCCCGAGGCTCCGCTCCCCCGCCCCGTGGCCCTGGGGCCCGGGAGCTGTTTGTCAGAACCCGTCCCCAGGCCCCGTCCCCGCCGCTGGGGAGATGAGGCAATGGGTACCTGAAACCCGCAATGAGCGGCGGGCGGGGAGCCGGGGCCCCGGCGGGGAGGAGGCCCAGTGCGGGCCCAGAGGCGCGGGCGCGTGGACGGAGGTGCA